GCCTAACAGGGTGAAGATTTTGACCCAGTTTTAAATATTGGCACCCCATTTGCCTTACGCCAATCCAGTGGTACTATGCCAGTCATTAAAGAATCCCCAAAAATAGAAACAATGGCTTTGAAATGACAGAGCTCAATTCTTTAAGGACCCATGGGTGTATCACAGAAACCTGACATTTTAACAGGGGTGTGTAGACATTTTATATCCATTGTATAAGTAAATAGTCTATACCAGAATCTAGCTTTCCTATATCCCTCATAATACGATTATTAATAATAAATAACTGCTAAATAAAAAGAAAAGAAAAATCCAATTTATTTACACAGAATAGAAGTTTGCTGCTTTAAAGTATATCTAAAACATTTTTTTCCTTTTGTTTTAATCAGGATAAGGAATGATGCAGATTTTTTTATAACGGGGAATCATAAAGGATATTTGCACGGCTCCTCTGCTATTTGGTTAAGCCTGCATTTACTAGCATGCATATGAACATGTACAGTGGGGAAAATTATTATTTGATCCCCTGCATATTTTGTACATTTGCCCACTTGCAAAGAAATGAAGGGTCTGTAAATTTTATTATAGGTGTATTTTAAATGATCCAGAAAATCCAAAAATCCAGAAGAAAAAAAAAAAAAAAAAAAAGACAATACAAATGTTATAAATTGAGTTGCAGTTCAGTAGTAAAATAAGTATTTGATTCCCAAGCAAGAAATGACTTCGTACTTGATGGAGAAACCCTTGTTGGCAAGCACAGAGGAAAGACGTTTCTTATAGTTGGTTACCAGGTTTGCACAAATCTTAGGAGGGATTTTGGTTCACTCTTCTTTACAGATCTTCTCTAAATCCTTAAGGTTTCTTGGCTGTCACTTGGCAACTCGAAGTTTCAGCTCCCTCCATAAATTTCCTATAGGATTAAGGTCTGGAGACCAGCTAGGCCACTCCATGACCTTAATGTGCTTTTCTTGAGCCACTCGTTTGTTGCCTTGGTGGTATGTTTTGGGTCATTGTCATGCTGGAAGACCTATCCATGACCCATCTTCAGTGTTCTGGCTGAGGGAAGAAGGTTTTCATCCAAGATTTTACAATACATGTCCATTGGCCCCTCAATGCGGCAAAGGCGGCCTGTGCCTTAGGCAGAGACACAGCCCCAAAGCATATTGTTTCCACCTCCGTGCTTGACTGTAGGGATGGTGTTCTTAGGGTCATAGTCAGCATTTTTCTTCCTCCAGACACGGCGAGTTAATTCCAAAGAGCTCAATTTTGGTCTTATCTGACCACAGTACTTTCTCCCAATCCTTCTCTGAATCATTTAGATGTTCATTGGCAAACTTCAGACAGGTCTGTACATGTGCCATTTTAAGGACGGGGAACTTGTGGGTGCTGCAGGATTTCAATTCATATGGTGGCATATTGTGTTACCAATGATTTCTTTGCTGACTGGTCCCAACTGCCTTGACATTATTCACAAGCTCCTCTTGTGTAATTCTGGGCTGATCCCTCACTTTTCTCATAATCATTACCCCATGAGATTAAATCTGGCATGGAGCTCCAGATGGAGGGGGACTGATGGCTATTTTGTATTTCTTCCGTTTGCAAATAATCGCTCCAACTGTTGTCTTCTTCTCACCAAGCTTCTTGTCGATGGTCTTATAGCCCATTCCTTGTGCAGGTCTACAATCTTGTCCCAAAAGTCCTTTGACAGCTCTTCGGTCTTCCCATGGTGGGGAGCTTTGAATGGAAGAAAGATGCTGTGGACAGGTGTCTTTTATACACATAATGAGTTATTGTTAGAAGCACTTTCTTAAATTGACAGGGCTAATCTGTGTACCACATGAGCACATAGCCAGCCTGTGGGAGCCAGAATTATTGCTGGTTGGTAGGGGATCAAATACTTATTTTACTCACTGAACTGCAACTCAGTTTATACCATTTGTATCTTGTGTTTATTTCTGGATATGGGGCTCATATTCTGTCTCTATCATTTAAATTACACCTAAGGTGAAAATTACAGACCCTTTATGTCTATGTAGCGGGCAAATGTACAAAATCTGCAGCGGGCAAATGTACAAAATCTGCAGGGAATCAAATAATTATTTTCCCCACTGTAAATCTCTATATATGTTATATATATGATACCGTTTCAGCTACATCAGTGGTCTTCAAACTGAAGCCTGCAAACCAGATTCAGGCCTTTGCTTGCCTTTATGTGGCTCTTAAGGCACTATTCCTCCCACTGACACCATGATGGAGCACTGTTCCTCCCCCACTGACTGACACCAACAATGGTGGGGCACTGTGCCTCCCACTGACATCAACAATGGTGGAGCACTGTTCCTCCCCACACTGACACCAACAATGTGACACTATCCCCTTCCACTGACATCAACAATGGGGCACCAACCTTCCACTGACACCAGCGATAGGGCAGTATTCCTCCTACTAAAAACCAATAATGCGGCACTAACCTCCACTGATACCATTGATGGGGCACTATCCCTCCCACTAACACCAACAATGGGGCACTATCCCTCCCACTGACACCAATGATGGGGCACTATTCCTCCCCACCATGCGTAATCACTGATGCCAACGATGGGGTGCTATCCCCCTCACTGACGACAAACAAATTGATCTTGTGACAGTTCATATCTACTGGCCAAGCACAATGGGGGTTTTGAATGTAAAAGTTAAAAAAACAAAAACACAGGTTAACTGTCCACTGTCTATATGGAATGTGTATATCTCATTGGCTATGCAGTGTGTTACGTAATAGCAACTCACTCATTTTGGGACGTAATTTTTTGACCTTGAAATCTGATGTACAATGGAGAAATCCTCAGAACAGTTGCCTTATTTTTATTGGTTTCCAAACACAAATACAACTTCTTTTAGGGCCTATTCACGCTAGGAACTGCACGTGAATCGCACAGGAACGGCATAGCGTTCCTGTGCAATTCACATGCAGTTCTGTGCTGTGCAATTTCAGCCCATTTATTCCGAATGGGCTGAAATTGCACTGCACCAAAAGCAGTACATGCACTACTTTTTGAAACGCACTGCAACCAAAACGCCTGGTACTTTTGTACCATGAAGGCCGATTTGGGAAAATGCACTGCGTTTGGGACCTGTGCTTGGGGTGTGCAAGGGCAGTGTAACTAAAATGCAGTGTGGGAAACAAGCTTTCCTGTACCACATTTTAGTGTGAACGGGCCCTTAAGGTGGTATCATACACAAAAGCAAACATTTATCATATTGCAGCTTACTAATTCTTAGATATATTGTCTACATTCATTCTTTTTTTATACCCCATTTACATTTGGTGAAGAGGAAACCTGCAGTCCTGCTTGTGATTTTATGTGGGTGATTTTCATGCAATTCCACATGTTGCACATAGGTCAGCCCATTGCCTTCAATAGGCTAAGCTATGAACGCTTGTTGCCCAAAAAAAGCTCCTGCTTCTTTTTGGGCAACAAGCTTCATGTGATTTTTAAAGGTGCATTTAGCTGCACGATTCTTTTGCAAAACAATTCCAGCAAAATCGCACCACATTTGGGGGTGCCATTTAGAATGAATGGCACCCCAAACACGCGTTGCACGTTTTTGAGCGATTGCCAGGCGATTTGGAATTATGGCTAGAATCAGTGATTCCACATAGCCAATGGGACCTAAGACTTTGTTTTCTTTTATTTTCACCTGGTGACCTGGCCAGTAAGTCTGTTGCTTTCTAATAGAACAAGCCCTCCTGCAAATGTATCATTTAGGAGTGTTGAGACAAGCCATTTACCACTGACAGGGGTGCTTACAGTGAACAGCTTTTATTTATGTAAAACCTTTATCCCAAAAAAGGAAAAAAATGTTTCTGTAACTGCTTATCTAACTGATTAAAAAGTGTTAGCTGTAGTTTGGCTTCAATTTGTTACTGTATCTAAAACTGCTAGTACATCTAACACTCCCTTCCCCCCAGACTGACAATGTTACTGTCTTTTGTGTCCCCTCTGCTCCTTCATCCAAAGTGAGGACACTCCAATACAGGAGTTGTGTTACTGACCAGATCACCAGGTGAAAACAGACAGGAACAAATCCTAAAAAAAAACTAATACAGCCACCACCTCTAATGATCAGTAAGCTTCAATATATTAAATGTTTTTATTTGGGCTTTATACCGCTTTAATCTTGCCATGCACTAAGAGATCGATCGTCAAATGCACATGTGTATAAAAACTCTCAACATACTTGATGACTTGATGAATGTTGTTCAAAAGTACATGACATTTTCTTAGCTTTAAAGCGGAACTCCACCCAAAAGGGGAAGTTCTGCTTCAAGCCTTTGTCCCCCGCTCCCTCTTCTGCTGCGATCACCTAGGCAATCGGAAGTTGTCCTCCTCCCCTCCCTCCCTGTAGTCTTCTGGGACACGTGACATGTCCCAAAAGACTACGGGGCCATTCACAAAGCGCAGCACTTCTCGCGCATGCGCAGTGGACACCCGGCTATGAAGCTGCAAGCTGTCACAGCCGGGTGCCCACACTGAAGATGTGTGCCAGGGAGAGAAGACAGCCAGTGAAACCAGCGGTGGTGAGGACATCGCTGGACCGAGGGACAGGTAAGTGTCTGTATTTTAAAAGTCAGCAGCTACAGTTTTTGTAGCTGCTGACCTTTATTTTTAATTTTTTTCCAGCTTGAACTCCGCTTTAAGCATGTGATTTGGATACAAAGACTTTACCGAATGCAAACCCCATACACTGTTAGAAATTCAATCAAGAAAAATTTTCCATCCTGCTACTTCAAATTTTCTCATCACTTTAAATTGTTGAAAATGATCGTAGATTTGATCTCACTAAAGATTCCAAAACCGGACAATCTTAACCGCCTCCCGCCCGCCATATAGTACAATGAGGGCGCAAGGCGGTTCTCTCGTTCTGGGATGACGTCATAGGACGTCCTCCCATTCTACCTCAGCATGTGTGGCTCCGGGAGCACGCAGCGCGGTGATCGGCGGTGCACTGTGTCCCTCGGACACAGCAGATCACCGATCAATGGAAACAGCCGAAGATGTCGGCTCGGTCATGTGATCAGCTGTGTCCAATCACAGCTGATCACATGTAAACAGGGAAATGCCGGTATTTCTCTCCTCACGAGCTGTCACGGTAATCGGCATTCCTCGGAGGGGACATGTACACGGATCATCAGAGCACTGATGATCAGTGTGCCCTGATGATCTGTGTAGCCCCAGCAGTGCCACCTGTCAGTGTCCATCAGTGCCAGTCAGTGCCGCCTATCAGTGCCCATCAGTGCTGCCTATCAGTGCCACCTAACAGTGCCAGTCAGTGCCGCCTATCAGTGTTGCCTATCAGTGCCATATATGAGTGCTGCCTTTCAGTGCCCATCAGTGATGCCTGTCAATGCCCATCAGTGCCACCTACCGGTGCCTCCTCATCAGTGCCACCTATCAGTGTTTATCAGTGCAGCCTATCAGTGCCCATCACTACAGCCTCATTAACACACATCAGTGAAGGAGAAAAATCACTTATTTACAACATTTTATAACAAAAACTAAGAAAAAAAATTTTTTTTTTCAAACTTTTCAGTGGTTTTTGGTTTAAGAAAAAATAAAAAAAACCCAGAGGTGATTAAATACCACCAAAATAAAGCTCTGTCACAAAAAAATGATAAACATTTCATACGAGTACAGTGTTGCATGACCACGCAATTGTCATTCAAAGTGTGACAGCGCTGAGAGCTGGAAATTGGTCTGGTCAGGAAGGGGGTATAAGTGCCCTGTAGGCTAGTGGTTAAAACAAAAAATCGTGAACAAAAAAGTCTACTAGTATATGGGCAGCATTACTATTGCACAAAGTCAAAGTCAAGGGAATCGTCTGTCCCAGTCAGGAATGACAAGACCTCCTGGAAGGATTTACTAATGTCAGTGGAGATTCACCTTCTCCATTTGTCCCAATGACAGAATGTGATCCAACATGTTATGGATTTCACTGGCACAGAAGGTGGTGGTGACATCTTCCAAAGGGGACACCTGTTCTGGTGACAACTGTTTAGGATTGGATTTTCCCAACTTATGAGAGATATTCCTCACTTCCTGTTGCATCTCTTGAACAGGAAGTGAAGGGAAATCTTCCCAACAGGTTTTATTTACACTTTATCCCTTTTGCTGCCAGAGCCATTTTTGCACTGTTTTGCACATTTTTAGAAAATCATTTTAGGCCTGAAGATTACACAAAAACTCCAAAACATATGTTCCTGAAAGCAGACACCCTAGAGAAAAAGACAGTGGAAGTTCAAATATATTATGTCACACAGAATTCATGTCCTCATTGCAAGCATTTTCCTTACATCCTTTTCCAGTGATGACAATAACAATTTTTCTGCCCCAGGGACAATGATCGCCATGACAAATAAAAATAAAATGCGTATATTTGTGATATAAACAGAAGCAGACCCAGTATGTATAGATGGTAAAAATTAGAAATACCATTTTAATTGTTTATATATCTGGGGCAATCCACTGATTTTTTTTTTAATTCAATATTTTAGTTGTATTCTGGACATAGCTTACAGTAGTAGGTGGACCCCCCCCCCCCCCCCCCCCCCCCCCCCCCCCGTAAATGGTTTCAATAATCATTATATGTTCAGTGTAAGAAATAGATCCCTGCATTGGGAACACAGGCAGCAAAAACGAAAACACAAAAATATTGGCTGGAGCACCTATATAAGCTGCCAAAGTGGAGGGGTTTGTATACATAATAAATAAATATATATATATATTTATTATTATTATACAGGATTTTTATAGCGCCAACAGTTTGCTCAGCGCTTTATAATATAATGGGAGACAATACAATTCAATACAAGAGGTTTATTAGAGCCCTGCTCCTTGGAGCTTACAATCTAATATATATATATATATATATATATATATATATATATATATATATATATATTCTGATTACCTGTATAGACAACGCTTTTTACCTGCTGTTGTTGTCCACACCCCTTTAAACATTTTCTAAGTATGTATACAGTACACAAAGTATGGACAGGGTCTGTCTGAATGAAACCAGTTGACTCTCTGCAGTCTGTAATGAGATAAAAATGCACGGGTAACTAAAGACCACCTGATCTCTTTATGTCATGCGATGAAGCTCACGTTTTTGTTTTTATAGATCCTTTTTATATAAAATAATAACGGGGCTATAGCTGTATAGCCTTAGTAGAGCAGAGTCATGACAGGCACTAGGACCCAGCTGTCATGTAGCCAGGCTGCCAGTGCTTGCATGTAGCAGCTGCAGACTTTTACACTCAGTGCTCTGCAGAGGGGAGAGACCCTTACAGAGAAGGGGGAGACCCTCACACTAAGGCATAGGAGATCAGACACTTAAACACAAGAGATCTGCGTTGTGAATCCCACCAGCAAAGGACAAAGAAAGAGCCGGACCCCTGGAATAGAAGGAGACCACCAATTCTGGATTACACTGGGAGGCCTGTAGAGAAGAGAGGACCCCAAGCTGGACCTTGCAGAAAGGGGGATTTTTGTTTTGGTTGGGTTCGAAGGCAATGTGACCCTAGATGTACACAGTGGTAGATCCTCCAAATGCATTGGAAGGCGTGAGAACTGAGAGACCTCCAGAATAAAAAGGTAGAGGGTCTCCTGGGCTGCGAACACATAGATGCCCCCCAGATCTCAGCACAGAGGGCTTTATCAGAAAGGACCATCTGAAAAAGAGAGGAATACCGTGACAGCAGTCAAGACAGACAATTGTGACATCACAGATCAGGCCCGGCGGTGACCCCGATCCATAGGGACCATCAGAGGTGACAGTCTTGATCTGTCTATGGCTCCGGTGAGTGCAGGGGGAGGGTAAGGCAGCAGCTGATGTTATCAATGAGAAATAAAGCGTATGTTCATTACAGAAGCGCCAGATGCTCAATGGATTGGTCACCAAGGACTGAACCATTGTTTGCTGGATTTTAATGTTCTTTTTTTTTATTTTATTGTAGTATTGTGTTTGTTGGCTTCTGACTTTCTGCCAGTTGCAAAAGCTTAGGTTATGGCTGAAGGCCCAGCCTGATACCTGCAAGAGGCATATCTAAAATCAGGTATTGCTTGTGGCAGGAGTTAACGGCTCCTGAGCAACATCAAGCCAGGCGATCGATCAGGGATGGTTCCATTTTCTATAAAGAAAAGGGAACAGTGACTTGACCATAAGTTCACTGTTTGCAGAGTCTAGTTCTCCAGGTTCCGGCAACACTTCATAAAGATGGGCATGCACTGATCTCAAGATGGGCATGTATGGATCTCAAGATGTCAATCCTGTTGAGATATCTGCCCATGTATGGCAGTTTTTAGGTTGCCCATGATCAGGCACATCTCACCGCCAGGACGTGCTACAACTTTTCAGTATAATTCTCCGATGCCCAGAAATATTGTGACATTGCAGTTAACCCCTTTCATGCCCAACTTGGGCATTTGGTATCATCATGTGCAAATTTTAGCTGCTTTTTATATGCCCAATCTTTACTGATCAATCTGTGCTTCGCGAAGTAACAATCAATCAGTTTACTGTATGGAGATCAGTGAGCAATGGATCCTAAATACTGGTAGCTGTGGGTTATTGCGTAATGATCTTTGTCTTGTCAAAAAAGCCAAATGACAAGTGACTGTTGTCAGTGTTTGCACTTGTCCTTGCTAACTGCTTATGAGAGATTTGAAAAGGAAAATTATACTTAGAGAAGTAGAGAGGCAGCCACTATGAACCTCATTCTGAAAATGCTAGCTGCCTGGCTTTGATATTTCGAGACGTGGCTTAGCAAAAGCATGTAGATTAGGATGACCAAGAACAATCTCTTTCTAAAACCAAGGTCTACACCATTTAAACGATACACATGCAAATAATCTTACTGAAGACACAGAAAGACTATATATGTGGGAGCACAAGTATAAAGAAGTGCACATGTAGAGAAGACTCAAATCAAATAAAAGCACACAACAAACTTCTAAAAAAACCACTACTGAAAGTCCTAGAGGGTGCCTCCTGGGAATCTGGTTGGCAGTAGTGAAGCCAACTCCACGCGTATCATCGCTAACCCAACTTCCAGTTTCCCATGACACAGAGTAGGTGGCCTTGATGTACACAGACGTCACTCTACTACTCCTCAGACTCCTGGGAGGCACCCTCCAGTACATTTAGGTTTATCTAGACTTTCAGCAGCTTCATCTATATTTTGTTTCTTCACTGCATTATACCTTCTCCCTCACACTTTATCTAGTTTCTAGTTCACTGTGCAAGTTCATTGGTTCTTTTTCATTCATTACACACATACATTATTTCCCTTCACTGTTCTAAGGGCTGCATATTACCTTAGGTTCATTTCACAAAGCTTTATATGAGCAGAAGAGATTATATTTTCGCCAATGTGATTAATTTTCAAATCTCCTTGGACTCAACTAAAAATAATTGTCGCTTAAAAAAAAAAAAAGGTATCCTGGTGTATTAGCTTTGTGAATTGAACCTCCGAGTAGGTCACTCATACTTTTGACTATAAAACACTGGGTGTATTACTATTTAGCTGCTTCATCATCCTGATTTGTTAACCATTATCTCACTGATTTGATATTATTGTATATGATAATATATCCTAATTTAAAGTGGTTGTAAACCTCAGACATAAAATATGAACAAAGCATACCCCTCTACAGTGTGTATTTGTCTCATTCCAGAGCACTAAGGGGTTTATTTACTAAAGCTGGAGAGGTTTTTTTTTTTGTTTTCTAACCTCAGCTTGTTCAATTACGCTGTGACAATAAAACCTGGAAGTGGACTGGCTTCTATGCAGAAGTGAGCCTGATTTTGCACTCTCCAACTTTAGTAAATAAACCCCTAAGTGTCATTTCTGTCTGCTGCTTTATTCCTCTGTTGGTGCAAATCAATGACAAGTTTTCCAAACACCAAGAGAAAAATTGGAGTTAGATTTACCAGTAACTCTATTTCAGGAGTCTTCCAGGACAGCCCATGAGATCTAGGCACCTCCTCCACCAGTAACAGGAACCACATCACCAAATACACTTTAAAAGGAAATCCCTCTGCTGAACTGGTCACTTTTAAACAAGAACCTAAGGACGAAACAATATAGGGCGGGAATATGGCTGTCCTGGAAGACTCCTAGAAATACAGTTTAAGTCTAGCTCCGGTTTTCCCCAACTCATCTTCCAGGACAGCCCATGAGATGATTAACAAGAGTCATTAAAAGCCCAAAGACCTTTACCACCCTTGGGATTACCATAAATATCATAGATATGGTGGGCCTAGTTATTAAAATTCTCAATACAGAGAAAAACCAAGGAAGGGGACCTGGTTGCAGGGAAAACTCTGAGCCATATCAGGAAATAGGAGCTCAAAGTTACACAG